ATGCAATTTATAAACTTTAGTGACGATGTGACACTGCCTCGATTGTGCAAGTGACAATTCCTGTCAACTGGGCAGCGTGCAGCTGGCTTATAGACAGACGCGATGTGTGGTGATTTGAAGACATTTGAGTATTTTGAGAGAGAAAGAGAGAGCATGTGCGCAGTGATTCACTCACGCTGTTTGTAAAATTACGTCTCGCACAAGGTTTTCAAATTACTTTATAAGTTATTTAATGAAGAAATATGAAAGTGAGTACCTCACCTTCAGCATTATAATTATTTTACCCGCGCCGGACAGAGACTGAGACAGTGCCACTGCATGTCGTGCCAAACCTTCTCACGGCAGCGTCATCAGCTTGAGATCGTTTTTTTGAGATCGGACTTTTTAGAGACCGCCGATCAAACATCCCAACGTGATTATAGGCCGATAGTGATCGGTAGCCGATCAATCGGAGCACCCCTATTCACAATGAATCTTAGCCTCTCGCTGAGTTTTCAGGGCTACTTCAGAAACAGGATTGAGATCCACTGGTTTAATGCCATCCAACACCTTTAGTTAATTACTCCTTGCAGTGTTTGCAAAACTTTATAAACAGTTGCACAACCGTTTGTTTCACAGAAATGAAAATCAGATTCAAAAACTGCTTATTCAGCCTTGGTCTTTTCCTTGGGTTTTATGATTTATTCAGCACACCTGCAAGTTAGTCATACTAGAAAAACACAATGTTTGACGTCAGACTGTTAATAAACAAAGAATCAAGGTCGTTGATCGCAGAACCATCTGAATAGAGGCCTGTAGAGTTTGGTGTTTTAAAGACGACACGTGATTTCTTATATAACACATTTATATATTGCATCAGTAGGAAGCTGTTGAGTTTGAATTATTGTTAACCGCTTCGCATTTCACTTGCATGTCTTTTTTCTGTAGACTCACGACTCTGGATGAGCTCGACTGCAGCTTCAATGAGATTGAGGCTCTGCCGTCCACCATCGGCCAGTGTGTGAACCTGCGTACATTTGCTGCAGACCACAACCTGCTCACACAGATGCCTCCAGAGGTCAGTCCGGTCCCGGCACGATGCATTTAAGACAGCATCAAATGGCATTTATATATTGCCTTATATATAACTGCCATAATATCTTGTATTTCAAAGTAAAACAGAATGTTGTGTGGAGAATAGTGCAGGGTGAGATTTAAGTTGAACCAGCTGGATAAAACAAAAACCAATTCCCACTGCTGCTGTCAAAACGACTCGTACAAAATGGTTCAGTCTCGACCGAATCGATCCTGCAGTCTGATCAAAGTGTCCTCCTTGAGGCTGTGCATCTCAGTTGACCCTTCATGTGTATGTTTGTGCATCTGACAGATGGGCAGTTTGAAGAACGTCACCGTTCTCTTCCTGCACTCAAACAAGCTGGAGACTCTGCCGGAGGAGATGGGCGACATGCAGAAACTCAAGGTCATCAATCTCAGCGACAACAAGTACGTCCCTTTGCCGCAAACACTGCCAAACATCATATCATACACATATACACAATAGCCTGCAGTGTATTCTAAAACATCACCTGCTAATCACCTTATTTTCAACTTAATTTACTGTTCTTTTATTGGATCATGTCCCTTTTATTTTATTTCAGCATACTATCATCGTCACTTATTTCTTATGCGTGGTACAGTAATCAGGTTTCTGCTCTGTCCTCTTTCTGCGCAGGTTGAAGAATCTTCCGTACAGCTTCACTAAACTCAACCAGATGACCGCAGTGTGGCTGTCTGAAAACCAGGTGGGCAAAGCTCAGACACACAAGGCATAATATACAGTCATTAGTGTGAAATAAACAGCAGCAGAGTGATCAGGACTGCAATGCAGGCAGAGGGTTGATTTTTGACTCTGAAGGGGATTTGTTTGTTTTGTTTGTTTGTTTTTTGCACTAATGGCCTACTGAATGTAAATGATCTTGCTTATTACACAACTACTTGGCTACTTTCTAAATAAGTAAATAAATGGACAAAATAAATGGACATTGTATTGTGTAGAACAAGTTTCCCACGCTCATCGACAAGCTGGAAATGTAAAATAGTTATTTAAAGGTGTGAACAAGTCATTTGAAATTGGTAAAATATAACGAAGTTGTGGAATTTTCTGTTATAATATAATATAATATAGGTAACACTTTAGTTTAGGGATCAATTCTCAATATTAAAGGGTTAGTTCACCCAAAAATGAAAATTAGCCCATAAATTACTCACCCTCAAGTCATCCTAGGTGTATATGACTTTCTATGAGTTATATTAAAAATTGTCTTTGATCTTTCAGGCTGTTTCATGGCACTCAGCGGGTGTTGCATGCATCAGTCCAAAAGAAGTTAAATAAAAATCGCCCATCCATTTAAAAAAAGTGTCTCACACGGCTCCGGGGGGTGAACAAAGGCCTCCTGTAGCGAATCGATGCGTTTTTGTAAGAAAACTATCCATATTCAAAACGTAATAATCACTTTAATGTAGCTTGCGCCAACAGTTGTACACGGAAGCAGTTCCGGGCGGATGACGTATGAGGTCTATAAGACAAGTGCTATAAGACTTGAAACTAGCAGCTATGAAAGAAATTGGTTGCCTGGGACAGTGATCAGTTTTATTTTAGCCATGTGTATAAATAAATATTTGATCACATAGAGCATTTCAGAGGTCCACGTTATAAATTTACATAATTCACAGCATCGCAATAATCTCATACACAGTCACTTCCCAGACATACACTTGGAAAGCTTGTCCTTTAGCGGGGTCTGTGCTGTTGGCAGAGTGATTTGATGTTCCCATCAGCAGAGCTCAGAGTCTATTTAGCTTTAATTTATTTTACATTATTTATTTATTTATTTTTTTAGAGCTTGAAGCTGTGAAATCAATTTAAAACCAATCAAAAAGGTTACGGTGCTTTTTTTGCAAGTGAATATAGAATTTTGCTGCTGTAAAAAAAAATTGATCCATTTTGCAATTGTGGTAACACTTTAAAATAAGTTTGACTTTAACTTTAGTTAACTACATTAGATAACATGAACTAACAATTAAAAATACTTCTAAATAATTTATTAATCTTATTAATCTAATGCTAATCAAAAGTTGTATTTGTCAATATTATTTAATGGACCTGACCTAGCATTAACTAAAAATGAAGAGATTTGATGTTCCCATCAGCAGAGCTCAGAGTGTGTGTGTGTGTGGGTGATCTGTAATTGAAAGCCTGAGTGATTGTCGCAAGTGGCCATCAAGCCTGTGACTAATGCTTATTGAATATAACAATCACCTCCACTCCCACATGCGCCGTCAGCCCACCTCTGAGGTTCAACACAGCACAGACTTTATCTTAAGATATGATGATAATTAAAGGAATAATTCATCCTAAAAATGTCCTCTTTCTCATTTCATTACAAACCTGTATGGCTTTAATGCTCACAAGTGCTGGGCCAGATTACGGTCAAATCTGCATTGTTGTGATATTTGCTCTCAAGGAAGCAATAACTGAAGCAAATTCAGCTGAATGCATGAGAACAGCGCCTCTATGAAATAATAAAACACTGGTAGCGCATCTAATCATCATGAGCCATATGGTAAGGCTCTGCCAAAATCCTCTGTGAAGCAACCGCTCTGCAAGGGTTTCTCAGCTGGAATATCGACAGCTGATGTAGATTGCACTGCGAGATGAAGGTGGCACGCTGTTCTTTATTGATTGTAATGTGTGGTTTTGTAAAGCTGCATTTGATTAAAGATGAGATGAGTTTAAAGCCAGAGCCGCATGGCCTGAATCTGTAATGAGAGCTGTCCAAACCGGCAGAGTCCTCATGCTGTGTGTGTGAGATGGGAAATGTCATACTCAAGGCATCATCACTGATCCTGTTTTATTTATTTTTTGTCTTTTTTCTTCAGTCGAAGCCCCTCATTCCCCTGCAGAAAGAGGAGGATCCAGAGACGCACAAGACTGTACTCACCAACTACATGTTCCCTCAACAGACCAGAACTGAGGACTGTGAGTATCTAGTCATGCAGAACCTGCAGCTGTCGCACCCTCCTGTCACTAGAGTTTCCGGTTTGAATGTATGCCTTTTATTGGAATTGTTAAGTCAAGATATACTTGCATTAAGTCAAGTAATCGATAGATGGATGGATGGATGGATGGATGGATAGAATTTAATATTATTACAATTTAAATTACCTGTTTTCTATTTGAATATATATTAAAATGTGATTTACTCATGTCATGCAAAGCTGAATTTTCAGCATCATTACTCCAGTCTTCAACAATTAAAAATACTTCTAAATAATTTATTAATCTTATTAATCTAATGCTAATCAAAAGTTGTATTTGTCAATATTATTTAATGGACCTGACCTAGCATTAACTAAAAATGAAGAGTTGTATTTTTATTAACTAACATTAACAAAGATTAATAAATGCTGTAATAAACACATGGCTCATTGTTAGTTAATGCATTAACTAATGTTAACTAATTGGACCTTATTGTGAAGTGTTACGGCAATGGTAAGCACTGACATTGAAACAAGAAACAAATTTTAAATGTTTCAGAGTAGAATTTCCAATTTTTTATTTCGATTTTTTTTTCCGATTGTGACTATTTAAATGCAACATCAGTAGTCAGCTAACCTAATAATCTCAAAATGGCTAAATACTGACCAGTTAATCGAGCCAGCCAATATATTGGTGTATCACTAAAATCAGTGCACCTCTGTGTAAAATATATAGTTTTATAGACATTCAAACTTATTTAAAAATCCTAGCAGTGTCAAATGTCTACCTGCAGCCAGAGCTTGCTCAGGTCACTGTTTTCTCTCTGTGAGACTCGAGTCTGCCAGTGTTGCTGGGAGTTTCGCTGTGCAAATCACAAATGGGCGGCTCGCTGGATTCCAGAGGGGGAAGAGATTAATAAGTCTTAACCTGTTTCCTAGCAACCCCACTCTAAACTCTTCAGAAGGCAAACGCACTGGAGCTGCGGCTCTCTGGAATCCGCTTCAGTTTGTTAGCATGATTGAGCTTTAGAAATGGTCTGAAGTCTGCGCGCCTACATGACAAAACGCTCTCCTGAACCCAGACATCTGGCTAAATGGGCACACAACACAAATAAGAATTGATGTGAAGTCTGTGCCGCCCACCGAGCTCAGGCTGCAGCAAAAACGTGCAGTTTAATTCAAGTTTTTGCTGTTTGTTAATCCACATAGTTGAGAGACACTGCATTAGTTTTAATGATTTGATCGAACTGAATCACTGAAATGAATCAAAACAAACTCCGCACAGGATTTGAGGTCTCTGAGGTCCTTGAGCCCATCATCCAGCGATGGCAGTGCTGTTGTTTTGATTGTTTGGTAATGGTTTCCTGGCTTCTCTCTCACACAGATTTGCCCAACTCAGACAGCGAGAGCTTTAACCCGTCTCTGTGGGAGGAGCAGCGCAAGCAGCGGGCGCAAAATGTGATTTACTCATGTCATGCAAAGCTGAATTTTCAGCATCATTACTCCAGTCTTCAGTGTCACATGATCCTTCAGAAATCATTCTAATGAAAAAAATAAATAAACCTTACTGACCCCAAATTGTAAAATGTATTTTATATATTCAATATAAAACAGGTATTGCAGTCAGTAATTTTTTTTAAATATTTATTTTTGCTTTTTGACACAATAAATATTTATTAGATTACATAATAACATTTGTTTTTATTATTATTGCTACTACTATTATTATTATTATTGACATTTAATTATAGCAAATAAGATGTTCTGGTTGAATTGTATTGAATAATTATATATTTTTTTTTTATTAAATTCACCAAATGTTGAAAAATTTCAATATTCCAAGTTCACTCTTAATGTCTTTCTCAAACTTGTCATTTAAAAAAAATGTACAAAAAATTTTATATACTTTAACCCGTCTCTGTGGGAGGAGCAGCGCAAGCAGCGGGCGCAAGTGGCATTCGAGTGTGACGAGGACAAGGATGAGAGAGAAACACCCCCGCGGGTCAGTTCCCACCGTCCGCTTCTGTCCAGGGTGCACTCTCGATTTTCTAGTTCCCTTTGTGCATGTCCTGCGCCGTCATATCACCCATCTCACCCCTTGTTGTTTTGTCCTGTCCTAATTAGCCATTGCACACTTTAATTTTTTCTGAAAAGGTAATGCAAGCCACAAAATCCCAGCCATTTGGAACATACTGAGTGTGATTTTTTTTTTTTCACTGCGGATGGAGCTAACTTGCACATGTTGCCAACAAAAAAAGCAAATAATTATCAAAATGTCCTTGCAGTTAGTTGATTGGTACAGGTTTAGCATGTAAGAGATGCTGTTTTTTCCATTGCAAATAACATGCAGCAAATTAGACACTATAAAACATTTCTGTCATTATTTACTCACCCTCATGTAATTTCAAATCCGTATGACTTTCGTTCTTCTGTGGGACACAAAAGGAGATACTTTGTGACTATGCTGGCCGCTCTTTTACATGCGGTTATTATTAATGAGCTTTGAATGGATGCTAAAACGAAAACTATTAAAAATTGATTTTGTTTATTGAAATTAAGATGAAATAAAATAAAATATAAATATTATATGAAAAACTTGCAAAAGTTGCAACTAACTGAAATTAAGTTTAAGAAATGAAACTGAAAGCTAAGCTAATTATATTATAAATTGTATATATATATATATATATATATATATATATTCTAAAATATATTTTAAAAATAAATATATGTAAATATATCAAATTAAATATATTCAGAAATACTAATAAATAAGTCACTAATAAAAATGATGACAGCACATAATAAAATTACTAAAACATAGAAATAAAAGCTAATTCATATTATTAATAAATACTCTTAACAGTTTATAAATAATACTAAAATGACACTGATTCAGGAAATTTTTCTGAACTGGATCAGCTGATTTACAAATCTGGCAACACTATTCATTCATCAAGGGGAACTAAAGCGGGTGTCAGGATTTTCTGTAAATAACAGCTTAAATTTCTGTGTGTTCGTCACATAAAGCTTTGTATGCCTTCCAAAAGACTTGAGAAATGTAATGCACTTGTCACATGGACCACATTTATGATAGTCCTGTGGTGCTTTTTAAAAGCTTCACTCTACATTCACTATAACTGTATGACAAAGAGTGACCGGCACAGTTCAGAATTTCTCATCGTGCTCCACAGAACGAAGTCATTCATACAGGTTTGAAGCGACATGAGAGTTAGTAAATGATGACAGAATTGTCATTTTTGGGGGAAAATTATTTCTTGATTCCTTGGCGGCTTGAGGTAAAGCGGTTTCAGTGGAACAGCCTCACCTGGTTTGTCAGCATGTCATAGCCTGTGCTTCACTGCATTGCAGTGGAAATCTCATTAAAACTCTAACCCTGACATGACTCCTGTCAGAAAGTGAAATGGAAGCCTTCACTGTCTCAGGGGCCCTCGAGCGTACAACGTCAACCTTATTTCTTCCTTCCACCCCTCATCTTGCTGATATTACGTACTCGGTATCTCGTTCCCTCCCTCTCACGTCCTGTCTTGCACTCCTGATGAGTCATTATGGCTGTCTGGCTTGTCTGCTGTGCCAGGAACACATACAGGCTCCCAAGCTGTCTGACAGAGCATCACTATCAGCTCTCAGAGCGCCAGTGTGGCCCTTCAAGAGCAGCCCTCCTCGTTGTGGGTGTTGTAAAAAGCTTGCCAACACCTTTTGAAATGAAACTGTATCGGTGTTTGGCCAGGGGTTCAGCGACCCTCTCTAAAAACGTACCTGTATTTTTTATTATTTATTTATTTATCTGTCTGTCTATTCATTCATTCATATTCATATTATTCATATTTATAATATTATTATCCATATTATTCATATTATTTATGAATTCAGTCTTTTATTGTAGAATTTTGGAAGAGAATTTGGAATTTTAAATAAATTAGTTAAAATACTTAATGTTTAATGTAAAAAACCACCATGTTTATATATAATATGAATATAAATGTAATAATAAATCAGATTTATCATTTATTACAGGTCCTATTAAGTTCTCCTGAATTAAATTCCTTTTGTAAATCAACTGAGTTTTTGTGTTTACAGGAGGGCAATCTGAAGCGTTACCCCACACCGTATCCTGATGAACTGAAGAACATGGTGAAAACGGCTCAGTCCGTGGCTCACAGACTCAAAGAGGACGAGTCCGGGGACGAGGCAGGAAAAGAGACCAGGGCCAGCGAGAGGAACCACATCGGAGTGCAGGATGTAGGCGTGAAGGTTGGATTTTTAAATAATTATTATATTGATCTGTTGATTGTGTAAAGAAGTGAATCCTGGCATGGATTTTGGAATAACCCTGAATTTCCTGTGTGTCAGGTGATTGAAAGTCCCTGCACTAATGGCAAAGCTGTTGAAATGGTGCCTAAAGCAACGATGAACAGTCATCAAAATTACGAGCCAATAGATTCATTAGACAAACACAGCATTGAAAGGATCCCTCTCAAGACCTCCGACAACATGAGAACTATGATGAACCATGATGATACGCTTGAGGTACGGCAACAATGTGTCAATATTAAATGCTATGAATATGGTTTTTTAATCAAATGAATAAAAAATTATTTACTCATTCTAGTGTAGTTTCAAACCTATAAGAGGGTGAATGTGGACCAGTCTGTCAGACACCAAAAATGACAAAAAAGCACATTAAAAGTAAAAATAGTGTGAAAAACTAACCAAAATTTAACATATAGCTTCAGAAGAATACAGTATTCAATATTGTACTGTAGCCATTGGATTACAATCATTTGTCACAGTATACCAAGTCAATTTTTATTTTTTTCGACTCGGAGCTTTAAAATTGGATTCAATAAATTAAATTAGCCACTGTCACATATTATTCTCTTACTGTGAGTGGATGTGAAGTTCTTGTCAGGACACATTTGCTCATATTGTATTATATGAGATTTAATGATGTCAAGACATGCTATATCATCATAGGGTACATCATTTAAACGAATATGAAAATGAGTTCAGTTTACCACTATAGAAGACGAAGGAAAATTGGAGTATAAATTAAATTTAAGCTTTTGATGTGATGTGGTTGTGTGGTCAGGACTCAGAGGAGCTGTCATCTGAGGAGGAGGAAATGAAGATAGCCGAGATGAGACCTCCACTCATTGAAATTTCCATTAACCAGCCCAAAGTAGTGGCCCTCAGCAAGGACAAAAAAGGTAAAGTGATACTTGCCTTACTCTCTCACTTTGCTTAATATCAATTAATAATTCTCTCATTAACGTGGACAATTGTTACTCAGATGTTTCTCAAAATAGGGTGTGTAATAGAACTGTTGTTTTTCCTGTCTGGTGTTGTAGATGATGGGAAGGATGCCGACTCTTTGCTGGATGAGACGGTGGCCAACAGTAACCAGAACAACAGCAACTGCTCTTCACCATCACGCATGTCTGATTCAGTGTCCTTGACCACAGACAGCAGTCAGGACAACTCCCTCTGCACCCCAGAGAGAGAGTCAAAGATGCCTCTGGTCCCCAAGAACGGGTACGAACACACAGAATACACAAAAATTTAGTAATGAACAGCAGTTTAACTAAATGTTTCTCTATGGAAAAGAACTAAAATGCAGTGCAGCGGCTTCTACAAAAGTACTCGCATCACCAAATAGTCGCAAAAGTCTAGTGTTATTTTCGTTAACGAAAACTATGATGAAAATATTCGTTGATGAGCTTTTTCCCCATGACTAAAACGAGACGATGATGAGACAACAAGGTCAATAAATGATAACTGTGACTATAGTAACATGCAATATCATTGACGATAAAAGACGAGACTAAAATGTCCTTAAAAAAATTAAAATTATACAAAAATCTCTTTATATTCATCGAAAAAAGTAGACAAAATATTATTGCGGACTGCTGTACACGCCTCTATTATGCAAGCTTTCATGTGTGCGGTTGCCAGATATCAAGAGTTCAAATCCCCAAATTAGAGCTTCTCTGTTAAAAGGACACATTTTCTGCCCAGTGTTTTGCTGAATTTTTGCAATCTGGCAACCATGCGCACGCGCTTGCTCTTCATTACGGAAGTGCCAACGATGATATGAAAACACCGACAAACAAGTAACCTGGAGTTTAGCACTCTCCAATGTGAGATGTTCGGCTTAAGTGAAAGTGTCATTCATCCAGTCTGTGCTCTGTCATGAGATCTCGACTGTTTTGTTTGCGATTGTGGTTGCTGAATAAATGCGCTTACTCAACCACTGTTGTTTTAATAGAGAAACATTACTATTAGGTATATAATACTTTGTTTGTTTTTACCAGTTTTCATAATGTAGACAGAGAGAGTGCATATGTAAATCTTTGATATTAATTTATATATTAAATAGCCTATAATATCTAAGTCTTTGATATTCATTTTTTTTTATATTAAATAGCCTATAATAAATCATTACACTAGATGAGGTAAAATAAACCATTTTAATGAGTTCACATTCTGTTGGTTTGTGCTTATTGGTGAAAGTGCAATACCTGAAATGTAAAAATAAATTTCTCATAATGACAACAATCATTGCGATAATAATTTTGAGCAAAACATTTTTTGGAGTTTAACCATTATACAGCATGACAAAAATGTGAAGTTTCATTCATCAAAGTTTTCATTGACTAAACCTAGACTAAAATTCTCAGACATTTACCCTCGCTTTCACAGGCAAGGCTTACAGTGGGTACGGAAAGTATTCAGACCCCCTTCAATTTTTCACTCTTTGTTATATTGCAGCCATTTGCTAAAATCATTTAAGTTAATTTTTTTTCCTCATTAATGTACACACAGCACCCCATATTGACAGAAAAACACAGAATCGTTGACATTTTTGCAGATTTATTAAAAAAGAAAAACTGAAATATCACATGGTCCTATTCAGACCCTTTGCTCAGTATTTAGTAGAAGCACCCTTTTGGTAGAACCACCATTTTTATCTAATACAGCCATGAGTCTTTTTGGGAAAGATGCAACAAGTTTTTCACACCTGGATTTGGGGATCCTCTGCCATTCCTCCTTGCAGATCCTCTCCAGTTCTGTCAGG